CGATGAATACAAAATATTAGTTAGCCGACCCTTTATTGATTACCGATTACCAAATGATACTAATTCTATGCGACGCTGTGGTTGAGCAATACGGAATGGCTTCTTTTGAAACTTGACATTTCCAAAGTTTAAAAGTTATCCAACTACGCCTTCTTACCCTTGACGATTGGATATAAGCCTTGTCTATGTGAGAAGTAATGCAGACGTAGAGAACCATCGCCGACCGACTCGCATTGGAACGTCGGTCCTCTCATCTCGGATTTGAAAGCAATTTGGTCGATGAAGTAATGCATTGAGTTCAGACTGTCGAGGAATTCCTACAAAAGTGTAGAGGTTTGTGTTCAAGTTTTCGCAATCTTGTTAAGTGGCGGTTCTTCACTCGCCTTCATTTGATTTTTCTCAACGCTGAGCTCTTTTTGTTGAATCCCACCCCTAACTACTTACAGCACTCATGCACTCTATCCTAGTGATAATTTTTGCTCAAACACAGCTATATCAAACCAGTGAAGTCAATATCGGACATGTGGCGATCGTTTTGAGATGTTTGTGGCGAAATTTCGAAAATCATAATGTTACGGTTCTCGGGATATTCATCAATATTATTGCTATTTTCGAAAATCGCACTGAGATAAACATTTTCCGCAGTTCACACTAAGATCTATGGTATTCTAGGCAGGAGCGGCATAATTTTTACATCTCCTCTCTCTAACAAACTCATGATTCACTACCTTCAAACGCTTTCTTAAAAAGTCGCTATTTCAATCGCCCTGATTTGTTGTCACAATGAATTGATAGTAAAATGCCTAAAAAATTCTTTTAAATTAAATTATCAGAGCGAAAATATTCCTATAGCATGCATGCGCGGTGATTCGATCACTTCGATCCTTAGATGACACTTCTTTATCACTTGTACAATACCCAAGTCTTATTTGCCGAAGAATCTTTTGAGTAAGTAATATTTGTTTTCCTGGAATCCCGAAATAAATGTGTCAGTATGCCAGAAAATCATTTTTAAGTTACGCATATCATGTTCTATTGAGATGGGCTGACTTATAGAGCCCGATACCGTGTTTCGACCTTGCGGTCTCGTCGGTCGGGCAGTTACCCTTTCTCCTCTTTTGTCAATTCTCTGCGGGTGCTCAGTACCCACACTAAGGGTTAGCGGCGAACATTTTACACCGTAAGTCCAGTGACTTTGTGCCCATCATAACAGATCACATGGAGTGCGTGGCTCAAAAAATGAAATTATGGCATATTGAAATTTTTCTGTGGTCTTAAGAAAGATATGATGCATTGAATATACTGGCCAAGAGCAGTCGACTGTACAACACTGTCTTTTTAATGATAATTTCACTGGGCTACAGTGTAAAATGTTCGTCGTCGCTCACTCTTAATGTAAGTACTGGGGCACCCACAGAGGATTGCTAAAAGACGAGAGAGGGGAACTGACCGACTGACGAGACCGCATGATCGAAAGACGTGTATCAGGCTCTATAAGTCAGCACATCTTAATAGATCACATGACATGCGTGGCTCAATAATGATTTTCTGGTATACTGAAATTTGAGCTATGGTCTAGAAAACACTCGAAACGAAAAATAGATGTGTCATTACCAGGCCGTCAACACTCAGCATTTTGTTGTGAGTTGGAGAGGTTCAGTATTTCATTAACGCGTTTTTTTTATATGGTTAGGGATATCCAACAATGCTTGACTTTTGAGGAGGATGTGAAGATGTTTAACAACATCTCAAGCTGCCGCAGGATGGACCTCCAGAGTATAACGCAACTACTTTTTGAGCAAAAGTAATTGAGATATATGATCTAACAACATATGTGCTGAGCTACGAACTGCACGAAGTTATCCACTACACCATCGAGGCCGTTGTTCTACCTTTCTCTCAACCATATTAAACCTATTGGGAAGATGTCGACAATCGCCAGCAAAGGATTTGATCCAATGAGCACAAAACAACATTTTACCCCTTTTGATTTAAAGCCCTACTTGAAGCTACTACTTTATCTTTCACAAAGTACAGTACCGTTTAAAAAGACATCAAATAAAAAATTTAAAGTAGAAGTACGATATTTTGAAATGATTTCCCTTCTACGGACTATGCAAAAAGCGGTTGCTTGGACGCGCAAGCTTTCAAAATTCATTCAGTCACGACATCTGCTACGACTTCTTAAGTGCGATCGAATCTATAATAGAATATTTGAACGGACAGAGTACACGAAAAAATGTTTACGTTCTTCCTCATAAATGAGGATGCACTTAAATTCAGCGATTATGACAATTTCTATACTAGTGTACTGAAGCAAGATGATACCATTCGCGTTGATGCCTAATTTTTGAGTCCAACTCAGTGGAATCCCAACAAATTTCAACGGCTGCAAGATTTTTGACTTTTTTGCACTATGAAAAAATTTTCCGAGAACCCATGACTTCTGACGGTCGGATCATGGCAAAATTGAGACAGATTATGCTCTATTATTCTATCGCTATGAACCGTATAAACACTACTGTTTCTTATGCAACTATAGTTCATTGCACAAATTTGCTGTCCGTTTTTAGAGGTGCTTTGCACTCTATTTGGATTCATTTAGGTATAAATTTGGGTACTTCAGACAGTATGAAATAACTATCATAATGCGATAACATTCCTGACAACATATTTAAGCCCTTCATGAGTTCTGTTATGAGCACTTATACAGTGCAGTACACGTGTTTCGACCTTGGAGTCTCGTCAGTTGCACAGTGCTCCTCGCCTGTGTCGATTCATCTCGGAGGAGAGTCCCCTTGCATAGGGACGAACACGTTACACAGCGTGTCAAGTGAAAATTCACTTCACCCACGGGTAACATACGAGGGGCACTGCGCAACTGACGAAGCTGCAAGGCCGAAACACGTGCATTGCATTGTATAAGTGCTCATAACTGACCTCAGAAAGGCTTAAAATATTCTGTGAGGATGTATCAATTTTAAGCGAGTTCTCAAAAAACCAATCGAATATAGAGGCATTGAAAGCCTCCATATTATATATCAAAAGCTCTCGGCGTTGATCAATCCCTGAGGGATACGCCATGCATTCGACTCCAATTTCTAACTTCGTTTGAGGTGATTGAATGCATATCTGGAATTTTACAATGACTCGCGGTGGCCTCCCGCTAAACCGAGTCAGTGCTGCATATCCTCCCAGACAAGTCTGAGACCTGTCTGATACCAATTTACCGACCCCGGAAGGGATGGATGGCTTGGTGAGCCATGAGCTCGAGATCGAACCATTGACCTCGTGTGCGACGCAGAGCACCTCTAACCATTGCGCCACATGCGCTCTCATAGAGCCATTATGAGATAAAAATCATTTGTTTGTGAAATTGTTAGCAAATGTACTTTCGTGAAAAAAAGGTTTTCTTGTTAACCATATAGTGTAGAAAATTGATATTTCTGTCTTGCTACCTGTTTTGACCATTTTTCAATAGAACATCACATGAATATAGATAGTGTGTGAAAAAATCTGCAGCTCATCAGACTGAGAATGAGTACTACGGCTTTCAAATTACCTACTCGTGTCATTATGTGTGGACGATAAAGTGTTCGTGCGCTCATGGATGGGTTAATGTGATGAAAGCCAACCAATCAAAATGGTGTATCAGTAGCTGAGAACAGTGGGACGAGTACGAGTCAGAAGCGGCCAAGTTAATAGTTACTTCAAAAAACGCTGAGAGAATGGGCTCGCTGTTTTTCTGCATATAATCTATTGATACATCTTCTGAAGACGTAATCATAGCTTGCATATATGTGTGAAATGCCTTTATTCATGTGTTGTTCACAACGTGTGAATTATGCCAAAATTGTGAAATAAAGTGAATAAGCGGTGTAGTCAGCGAAGTCTCCAAACGAGACATCTTTACATGTAGTCTAGGGCGCGACGGCTAAACTATTCTTCACTGTCGACCCAATGGTAGAATTCTTTTGATTATCAAGGATACTAAATATCATTAAATAACAACAATGAACCGAGAACTTTATAAAACAAGGTGTCTTTCGTGTTTTTCGAGGAAATAGAATTTTCATAAAATTTTGGTTTATTAGGTTATACATCAATTATATGGCTATCGTCAAAGGTCGTCAAAAAGCTTTCAAAATTTTGAAAGTTCTGCGAAAGGAAACGGATGTAGCTAACAAAAATGAGGCTTTTAATTTATTCGAAAAGTTTGTATAATGAGGTAGAACCTATGTAGAAATTTCTTTCATGCGCGAAGAAGCGTGGACAAATTGCTAGTCTTTCCATGTACGAACCGGGTACCTTCTTTCAGGATTTTCCAAGGTGGATTTTGTGTCGGATCAGCAATTTGAGTCGAATCCGATTGTATTACGCAGTCATGTACTTCAGGAGTGAACCAATTTTTTCTCTGCTTTCTAGGTGAGTATTCAGCACAGGAATGAAAAGTGTAATAGGTCGTCAGATATTTTTTCTCTCACCATTAACACTGGCCTGATATATATGACATATTTTAAGCCTTCATGAGGCCTGTTGTGGCAGAAGTGCTAGACTCTGTTTCGGCCTTTCAACCTAACCAATAGCACGTGAAAAATTGTGCAAAACTTCAAATTATGTTGTATTTGGCTCACGTTTATTACTTAGACATGCTATTTTCCTGCAATACTTAAACACTCGTCCAAAAACGTTCACAAATGATCATCGCCTTTATTGACCATAGATTGTAGCAGAATCAGATGGAGGTTTGCCCTTTTCTGATAAAGAATAAGACTGAATCAGTTTTTTGACACGGTATTTATAGAATTCCTACATGATTCCTTTAGTATTCCGTTTTCACAAAATGCTATGATACTTTATTCCGTTCTTTGTTTCTCTTGCACCTTCCTTCTGACCTTTGTCATCTTAAACTTGTTAGAAAACGATAGTCTCTCCACCAAGAAATCCTCAAACTACCTGAAGATTTATACCCAATATGTGGAGTGCTGTGCAAAAACGTTTGCGTCAGCCGGTATTCGAACCCAGATCTCACTCTATCCGGGAGCGTATGCTAACCATTGCATACCGACGCTCGTTCTTGCACAGCACTCTTATTTACGCTACAACGCGTTGTCTGCCAACAGCCAACCGTCGACGGTCTGGCGGGGCAGCCGCTATCGGCATTGAACCCACTTGTGTTGACACACATTGGATATCGATGATCAGTCTAAATTCTAATAAATAAGAGTGCTGTGCAAGAACGAGCGTCGGTAGTGCAATGGTTAGCATACGCTCCCGGAAAGAGTGAGATCTGGGTTCGAATCCCGGCTCACGCAAACGTTTTTGCACAGTACTCCACATATTGGGTATAAGTATAACATCATACCACTGCAAGTGGCAGTCAAAATAGAAAGAATTTACCTGAAGATTGTTTGCCATACAAATCAGCATTTTTTCCCAGCCAGTTTCACAAGCATATATTATCAGAAATTCGCCGTACATTTCCCACATGTCGTCTACCGAAATCCCTGCAACATCTAAGATCTACTCTTGAACGTAGGAAAAACTCAATACCATCTGTTCTGGATTTTGAAGATTATGAGCGTTTGCAATGAGCTAAATCCACTTTTACGACGTTAAAGTCTAGGCACAAGTTTGCTATGCAACCATCTCCTAAGCTCCAAAGAACCACCATGCGAATTTATCTGAGAGGAAAGTATCAGTACTAAACTTTTTGCAGTTTTTAGTTTCTTAAGAGTTTTGCTATTGAATGAACTGCTACGATATTCGTAGAATATAGCAGTAAGGTTTAGATCATTGATAAGAACATTAAAAGCCACTCTTATAAGTGGCTTTTGAGTATTATTACTCTACGACCAACCTAGAATTTCTGCTGCACTTCTAAAGATTCGCATTGTCTCCGTGTCTTCGTAATATGTTTGCACGTCAAGCTCGGCATCTGGAGCAAAACCGGCTTTCTGCCTAAAAGGTAAGAACAGTGTTTTGCAATGACTTTAGCTTAAGCTATGGACGACAATGGCGAAATTCCTTGATTTGAAGTTTAACTTTACTGCTTATTTATGAGATCATTTGAGCACCAATGTCTAGTTTGATACACCACCGTTCGTGAAGGGCAGTCAATGCAGTCTTTAAACCTTCATAGACCACAAGACGATTTCGAGTTCCATTGAGTGAATTTCTCAAATGAGGCAAACTGAAGTCTGGAGTTGAATGAGCAAAGTTGTCTCACATTACACTGCGCTATGTGGTTGGACGTAATTCGAATAGTCGGAAGACCAAAGTCGAATCGGATTCAAGACCTGCGCTACCGTCTTAGTCACAATCATTCTTATACTTTGCGGTTATTTTTTTATGTGGTTTTGCCATGTTGCTTCATGTCTACAACGAAAAATTTATCAGACGCACCAAAATCTGCAAAAAAAAAACAATGGCATATTTTTAGCGATTTTCATGAATGAGTGGAGATCCTTTGCTTCTTCTCTCACCAAGGCGACACTTAGACTACTACACATAGGAACACGTCCAAAAATACTGTGATATGCAACTACAAATAAATGGATCCCACATCGATTTTTTTTATTCGTAGCGATAGAATAACCCTAAAGGATGTTGCCAAAGATGTGAACCTATAATGTTGCTGCTAAACGAAAGTACAACAATCTCACGCATCATATATGATTCGTATTTTACGCTTCGGAAAATCGGACTTAATTTCATGACGCTGTCTTTGGACTGGAGGTTTCGACGATAGTGTGAATAATCTCATTAGAGTAAGATTATTATAGCATTTTCTTATAATGTACTTCTATCTTATCTGACAGTCATTATTCCGCTTTCTTGCTGATATATTTTTGATGAAATAATAGAGTTACATGATTTTCTGCCATGTCTCCATGCCATAGCGCCGAGTAATGAGTGCACAGATGCACACGTGCGTCCATCCAATCTGGAATTAGCTTGAGAAAGGTTAAAAGCTTCAATATCAATTCATCCAAGCTGCAATTTTACTACCGTTCGATATAGCCTCTCATGTGAACAACTGAAAAGCGACCAACATAGTTGTCGATTGGATGACCAATGAGTTCTTATCATCTCAGTCTCACAGATATGCAAAAATGTCCTTTTTCTATGAGTCATTTCACAGAACACTTTCTATAGTTATTTGTATTGAAAACAGCAAGGCAATTCGTACCCTGAAAACTAGTTGAGATTAACGCACCACGGTATTACTATGAGATTATAGATAATAATGAATAGATCCCTAACAGAGTGCGGCAAAAATTGCTCGATTGCTCAGTGCCTTACATTCAACGGTTTCTTAAAGCTTTAAACACCGTGCGACTGATGAGGCAGAAAGGCTGAAATACGTGTCTTGCACTATATAAGTGCTATAACAGATCTCGTGAAAGGCTTAAGATATGTTTTTAGCACTTTTAGCATCTTATTCGATCCGTCATCACAATTTTTCACTGTGCGAATAGCAGTACTTCTTGCATTCATTTCGTTTTTCGACCTCCTGAACGGCATAGAACGCTGGTTGAGCGAATCTCCTTGAAATCTCGAGGATAGCCCTGCTGTGGCTTACCAAAGGATGTTGTTGTTGTTTGCGGAAGAGAAGTGTGGGTGAGCTCGGCTCCACACACGCCGTGACCAACATCACAACCACTCGACCACGGTGCGCGCCATATGTTATCAATTATATCGTTTTGAGAGAGATCTCAAACGTAGTTGAAAAGAAAGAAATCCTTTCGATTTTTTCTTTTCAGAAAAGGAAATACGGAACACTCAGGAGAAAATTTTCTTTTGGTGCATTAGTTACTAATATGGCAGGAGCGATTACAAAAGAAAAAATCCTACGTGGCGGCGATAAAAAAGCCCATGAGACTGTGAAACACCTAAGGGCGATAGCCTCAAAACCTAATTTCCCGAGTAAACTACCAGAAGATGCTAATCACCATCTATTATATGGATGAGATCAACCCTAACCGGCATACAGGCTGCTGTGACTTACCATATTGCGTATAGTGCCAAAATCTGAAGTTCAGTAGAAGTGTTTCATAACGAGTGAAGGTATGGTGTGACGGGAATCATCGAATGCTGAGGTAATGATGGAACCTCACGCTAATGCATGAATATTCATTCCCCATAGACCATCCCGTTATAGACTCCGGCGAGAATGTTCTATGCATGAGCAGCAGATTCATATCTAAAAAGGCGGTCAACAACTCGTTGCCGAGTAATCCTGTAAATTACTCGGTATCCTGTAAATTCCGAGTAATCCTCTAAATTGCAGAGGTGTTGACACTAAACCCTAATTCCTTCGACAGATTTATAGTAGATCCAAGTGTTTTGAGTGTTCTCTCTGCTCAAGAAAATTCTTAAGATGTGAAAAAGAATTGTCATTCACAGTCATTTTGAACGTCTGGTAATCGTAGTTTATAACAGCATATTCCTATTCTACCTTTATGAGTCAAAACTAGCCTTGTATAATTCTGCCAATAAAATCACAAGTAACCCCATCTTTTTGCTATGATTTTATTTGTTCGATCCTGAACAAAAAGTTACCAGGGTTTTTTAACTTCTATTCAGCTCGAGTGACTTCGTTTTCCAGTTGAAAAGATTATTTTTTGCTGTAAAATACAGTTATCAAACTGCATTATCAGTACCCTATGCGATCCAGAGACAAGTTTGCGGAGGTTATGTTAAGAGACGAAAAGTTAAGTAAAAAACAACCAATTAGAAGAGTGATCAAAAGCGGTGATATGAAGTGTTTAGTATTTCATTATCTCGTTATATCTTATATGTAGTCGTGGAGAACGGTATGTCTCATTTTCTCACACACTTCTATGACAGCTACACCTAAAAATTTCTCATCAACTATTGCACCAGTGTCCAATGAGTTAGTTTCTCTCCAATGGAAGAATTTGAAAGTGATGACAAAGAAGGGTCGTCAGTTGCTACACGGAATCAATGGCATCGCATTACCTGGAGAAGTTATTGCTCTTATGGGAGCTAGGTAATTAGCATTGGATTCAACCTCAAGCTTTAATGGTTATTGTTCAGCGAAACAAATCTCAGTTTTTATCAATGGATTGATGCTTGTTTAACTTGCAAGGTTTCGCTCTCTGATCATAATATAGCTGAATCTTGCTGAGCTTCAATTTAGGTGATACCTAAATATACTAGCTTTCAGCGGAGCTGGCAAGACTACGCTGCTGAATACGCTGCTGCATCGGAACCTGGGTGGTTTAATAGTTGATGGCAAAATTCTTGTCAATGGTCAGAATATCGGAAAGGGTGTTACCAGCGTTTCTGCGTACGTACAGCAAGAGGATTTGTTTGTCGGCACGCTTACGGTAAATTCTTAATATAAGGAATATATCCGTCCGTGAATGTAGTTCGCTCAAAGACCGTATGCTATATCACATTTCGCTCATTTTTTCTTTATCCCTGTCTTTTCGTGACTCATCGTCATGATGCATATATCTGCACTTATTTACAAAACGCAATCTAAATTGATGATGCGACCGAGGAAATAGAGAATCCGCACCAGAGCACTTGATGTTAAGCTTATCATACTCCCTAATACAAGATAATGTTCACATACTCAGAGATATTGCGGCGGTTATGACACATTAAATAGGGAATCATGAGAGCCAGCTATTAGCATACTTGTCGCTTTCCGCGGAAGAAGCATTTTTTGAGTGGTTCAACTTGCAACTCCTGCCTATCAAATAAAAAACCTTCGATCTCAATATCGTAATATGAGTGACCAAAAATGGTTTCCTGAATCTTATCGGGCCAACAAGTAATATAAGATGAAAGTAGATAGTAATTGATAGATAAAAGATAAAGACATGACTAAACAAGTTTTTGGATTTCCTAGTGATATAAGTATCAGGCAACTTACCACATTTTATTGATGCAGTATGGAATAACGTGCGTTACACTCTCATTCATGATACTCTTTGAATGTTGAAAAAGCAATCCGAGAAACTCCTGAATTTTTTCTTTCCATACTTCAGTTTTTTTGGATTCAAACGAAATTGTAGGTATTGATAACATTTGGTG